CTATTGTAAAAAATTAAAGGTTTTTTTTTTTTCTTTTGTAAAAGGTTTTCGGGTAATAGCTTCTATTAACCTTAAAACCTTTTACATTTATCTATTGCAAGTAATTGCATGTTAATGGGATAGCTATTGTAAAAACTTAAAGGTTTTTTTTTTCTTTTGCAAAAGGTTTTCGGGTCAATAGCAATAGTTTCTATTAACCTTAAAACCTGTTACCTTTATCTCTTGCAAGTAATTGCATGTAAATGGGATAGATATTGTAAAAAATTAAAGGGTTTTTGTTTTTCTTTTTGGTTATTTAAAAATCTCTCAAACTCGTTTTGTGCAAATCAAAAAATAAAAATTTTTAGAACTCTTGGGAGCAAATCAAAGGGCTCACAATTCCAACCAATTACTAGTAGAGTAGGTGAAAAATTAAATAAATAAATAAATAAAGGATTAGGTGAAAAAATAAAAATAAAAACAATTAAAGGTTATTGATGATTAGTACTCTAATCTACACGACCTGTCGATATTGCAAATTGATTATCAGACGTGTGGAAAGAACATGTGCGCGTTGGGATATTAAACAGCACTTGCGGTCTCTAAATAATGATATTTTCTTTGTTATATATCTGCAGTTGCTGTCGTTAGCTGGATGTGTTTTAGACAAATGTCAATGTCGGTTTTGGATTAAGCAAAAGGGAAAACAAATCCTTTAAATTAAATGACTACTTGAAAAAGTAATCATTGAGGCATGTTATGGTTTTGTTTGTTACATTTTCGGTGAAATGAATGGGATATATATTTATTCATCACGTGATTTGATGTTCAAAAGAGGATTATGGAAAATACATCTAATCTCACTTTAACCACTTCTTTTTTCTTTAATGCAACATTTGCTTATGGATTAATTGCATCTAAATTAACTTTTTCAAACACACATTCTTCAATTATTGAACCACCAACTACATTGATTTTTTTTTTAATTTGGAGAATTCGAACTCTACACTTTGTGTATTGGATTCAGATGTGAAAGTACTGTTAAACAACCACGTGTCATCTAAGTTGACTTTGACAAATATGGGCCCGTTTAATTCGTTGATTCGAGTTTTTAATTCAAGTTGAGATGTGAGTTTATGTGAGAGTTTTTTACAGTAACAAAAAAGTTAGATATGACTGTTTTTAAAAATTTTTTACTGTAACAAAAGAGATTCCCCCCTAACGTTAAGGTTTCTAATGAGGTATTTCATAAAAATATCCATCATATATGTGCATTTCGTTCGTGTAATCATGTTCTCCTTGAATTAAGTGCTCCTTAATTGGAGTTTGACGTTTTCGTTTAAAGTATTCCTGTTAAGGTCCAAGTGTTCCATGAAGCTCACCTCGTATCTCTATGGAAATTTATCCCTATAGAGATTTTTTTTTTTTTTTTAAAAAAAGAAAAGAAGAGAAGAGAAGAACATTTTGCTTTAGTTTATCAATTCTCTGTGCTATCCAAGAGACGTATTCTACTGCAACTTTTCCAAGCCAAGCTCATAGAGTTTCACTATCAAACCATTTTTTCTTCTTTTTCATCAATAAACGTTTGTTGTGCTTTCCTGGTTATAAACAATAAGGGTTGTTATTTTGAAACGAAACTCAAATAAAATTTGAACTCGAGTTATAACTTTATTTAAGTTTATGTTTTTTTGTAAAATTTGAGTTTGAACTCGAGTTTAAACTCGAGTTTGTAGTTAAACTCGAGTTTAAGTTTTTCCTTCAACTCGAGTTCATAAACTCAAACTCAAGTTAATAAACAGTATTTTCTCTATTCTTAAAAATATCATAACTTTTTCGTTTTAATTCTGATTGAGATGATTTTTTTT